CATGATCAGGGGGCAGCAGGGCAGGCCCTACGAGGAGAGGCTAAAGGACCTGAACATGTTCAGCCTCCACAAGAGAAGGCTGAGGGGGAATCTAGTGGCCTGTTAGAAACTAGTCAGAGGGGACCAGCAGGCATTGGGGGAGTCCCTGTTCCCCCGAGCACTACTAGGAGTGACCAGGAATAACGGTCACAAGCTGGCAGAGGGTAGATTTTGGCTAGACATCAGGAGGCGCTACGTTACAGTCAGGGTGGCTAGGATCTGGAACCAGCTTCCAAGAGAAGTGGTGCTGGATCCTACCCTGGGGTTCTTTAAGAGGAGGCTAGATCAACACCTTGCTGGGGTCATTTGACCCCATACTCTTTCCTGCCATGGCAGGGGGTTGGACTCGATGATCTGCTTAGGTCCCTTCCGACCCTAGAAACTATGAAACTATGAATTATTGGTAGGGACCTACTAAATTCACAATTTCCCAGATTTCATGTATTCCAAGAAATCCGACATTGCTCATCAAATCTTTGGAATAAAAAGCAAACTTAAGTAAAATAAAATGCTGCCTTCCCAGAGGGGTAACTGGGGCTGCCACTCCCACCCTTTGCTGTTGATTGGCTTGAGGGCTGCCTGTCATGTGGCCCCACCCTCTCCATCATTTGGTAACAAGGGGCAGGGCTGCAGGACGGACATCCCTCATAGCCAATCATTGATGAGGGGTGGGGCCACTGCCCCCAGCCAATCAGAGGTATGGGAGGGGTGATGCACTCCCCCCACAAAATGGCTGCCAGGCCCCGTGTTGTGCCCACAAAATAGGAGGGCAGCTCCTTCAAATTTGGTAGGTCCCTAATTATTGGGCATGGGGTAGAAAGGAAATCCAGCCTGCAAGCTTTTTTTACAGAAAATACTGATCTATGGACAAATCGCCTGCACCAAATTTTAACACAGCACTCAGTGACTTCGGTGATAGTTGCATCTGTCTGTATGTGACAGCACAGTTTGGTGTCTGATGTTTTGGAGCATAGTATGTTACCTGGGAGATGGGTTTTTTTGTGTTTGACACACAAGCAGAACTCAATGCTTCGACTGTAGGGCAAGAAGCGGGATAGGAGTTAGTCCTTGTTCAAACACTAGAAGGTTTCATAGTTCCCAAAAGTTTTTGTGATTTAAAGTTTGTCCCAGTATGACAAAGCCTTTGTAATGTAGGGCCATTCTTTCTCATATAGAGCACATCTATGGGCGTCAACAGATCTACTCATATTGAACAGGAGAGAGTACAGAACAATCTGGCTGGGTTATTTTTTTGGCCTCAATCCAGCAAGGCATTTTCCATGTGTAAATTTAAATGTGTATTGTTTTGATAATTACCCCTAAAGTCCTAATAGATGCTTAAATCTATGCACATGATTGAGATCGTAGCTGGATGAACAGTATATAGTCACAAATCTTTTTGGCTGTGTTCAAATGATAATTGTGAAGTATGTCTTTAATACTCTCCCTAATTGAACTGCAGCAGTGACACACCTTTGTGGGAGAAAGGGGGCAGGATTTTTTCATGTGAAACTGAATATTTCTCTGAGAAGTGGTATTACATGCTTTTCTCTTAACTTTGCATGATTGATACAGAAGTGTGTTGGCTTGAGTTTCCTACTAACTCTTGGTGTGTTACTTTTATTCCTAGAAACCACAGATTCCACAGGGATAGACACTGACAAGGAGCAATATATTCTAAATGACAGGGGTAAATAAAATACATACACTACCATTGGATGGAATGACACTTTCAGATGAAGTCTGTTTTATAAGTTAATTTATGTTCTCTCATATCCTTATTGTAAATATAAGTGGTTTATTGGGGGTGATCTTATTCTGCCAGTCAGACTAGTGCCATAACATTCAAGAGGTGGTAGAGTTTAGGCAATATTTATTTCAACATTTTTTTGATTGCATTATATTTTTAACTAGTCTTCAATTTCCTGCGTGCTCCTCCCCCCCCCGTCACTTTCTATGCTTTTACAAATGTTGCTTGAATTCTTGGCAGACCCTCACTGAGTTCCTGGCAGTAAATAAGTAATTGAGAACTTTAACATTGTTTATTGAGGACTATTAAAATCCTTACATTTGCCTCATTTGGGACATATCTGCCCTTCAAATTCACCACACCAGGCTGCAGCACTGCTCCATATGTCTGTTTCCTGACCAGCAAGTAATGTAGCCATGTTAGTACAGTGCTGTAATAGGTGAATTAGTACTGCTGAATGGCAGACCCACTTATCCTGCTTGCAGCAACATGCCAACGCAGCTGCACAGGTTTTAATTCTGGAGGTCATATACTCAGAACAGCACGATATGCATCAGTGCACTGCTGCTTGGCCTGGTGGCTGCTCAGTGTATTCAGGCCCTCCATGCCCATACTTGAACAAGGCATGATTTTTAATTAATTTGGTGAAAATGGTAGTGTTGGGAGAAAGGGAAAATATTGACAAATTTGTGAACAGTTTTAGCTGAAAAAAGTGGGAAAAATTCAGAAAAGTTCAAATGAAGCCTTTAACTTTTTCTTTTTGAAATTACATTTCATTTAGAAATGTAACTAGGTTAACTATTTTTTAAAAAGCTTAAAATTTAGGGTTGGATCAAGGCTATGCAGAATCATCAGCCCAGCTCAGCACCCAAATGGCTCCCCTGCTGGATAATCTCCCTGTTCCTGTGCTCTGAATCTGAACGATTTAACCAATGGCTGGTGTTTGTTCTGCACTCTTGGCTGAATTATTTTCACCAGGTTTAATCACACGGTCCTCACATAGAATAAAATCTTTAAAAAGTCATGGTAACTGAAGTCAGAGTAAGCTTTTTGACTAGAGCACAGCAGGACAGGACCTGTAATGAGCAGTATGCTTTGGTGGGGAGCAATGATAAGAGTATGACAAAGAATACAAAGTATAGAAATGAAAACGAAATGTTGTGGAAAATACTACTTATTTGGGGCATAATTGTTCTCATTGAATAGTGCCTTACCTACAGGTAGCTCATGAACATCAATGGAACTACTTGTAGAGTTAAGTGTTACTGACTGTATGGGAAGGTATCACATTCTGGTTCTCACTTTTTTGCTTTTATACATCTTTCAGGATGTTGTTGCAGAGTAGACCTTTTATGAGTATAAAACACTCTAGAGAAACCTCACTTACAGCTTAATAAGAACTTAAAATGAGGTACCTAATTAGAAGATGGGAAGCTCTAACAGCAGTAATGTCAGAGTAAATGAAATACAAATTAATTATAATAGAATATAGTAATGGTATTTTATAGTACATTAGGTACAGAATATGCATAATTATGATTGTGCTAACTTCATTTGAATAATCTTAGCCATGCATGGTAATAACAATGATTCATTAATTCTGATGAGTTAAACTTTCAGTCCTCTGTTCTGTTTTAATACAGTCTCTTCTCCTTTGTCTTCACTAGGTCCCATGTTCTTCCTCGCCTGTTTTAGTGTTGCTGCAGGATTCGCATTATTCATGTATTGCTGTAACTCAGGTAATCTGCTCTGAAGCTTTTTGGAATGGGTGTTTTTATCTTCAGTCACCAAATGCATTTTGGAGAGCTCTCTGTGTAACATGAACAAAGGCTGCTTATATAATAGAGTTAGTCTAAGGGGTCATCATTCTTTAATGAGGTTGGGATACAACCTGCACTTCAAGAATGCTAGGTTATAAGTAAAAAAGAGCTCATGGATCGCTTATGGAAGATCCCAGAAATAGGGGCACTTTTTATTTTATCTAAACCATAGTCATGTGAATTTCTCTCAGTGAGCAGAAGGGCAGTTCCAGAACAGATCCAAAATCTTCTGGCTCCAAAGTGGAACATTTTTTTTAAATGCTTTAAGATGCTACTAGCAGTCTATCTGGTGCTGGTACTTTCAGCAACTGATCATGAGAAGCAAAGATATTCTTTTCATTTCTGATTCTAAAATATTCACTATTAAGTAGCTCCTGTGCTTAATTGTGGAAGAGGTTCCATTGTAGGAAGGAGGTGGTGCATGTGTAGTGGGTGTGAAGTACACTTTAGGATCCTTTAGCATGAAAGGCACTCTTTGTGGATAACTGTACATCTTGAATGATAATATTTGAGCTGGAGCATTAGAAACAACCAAATGTAAAATGCCAAGCACAGCACTTCTTGTGTGCTTTTGGCTATAGGAGCTGGTGTACCTTTACCACACACTCCCCTGATGGGCTTTCTAGGCTCAGGCCAGCCATAAATGATTGAGGTGGTAGTATGTGAAACAACCCTTATTTCAACTTAATAGTCTATGAAAATTGTCTTCTCAAAATAACCATTAAAACAATGTTACTCAAAAATAAACTACAGGCTGGTCAGATCTGTACAGTTGGTGTAGGATGCAAAAATAGCTAGATGCTATGAGAATGTAGGCCTGGGTGCTGCACTCCCTTCACACACAGATGTAACCCATTTCCATCACAGGGAATTATGCATGAGGGATACAGGTAAGATCTGGACCACAGTTGAAAGAGCAAAGGGATGTCTTCTGGGGGCTGATCCTCAAGCTATTTCTTACATGGATAGTGCAATGGTAATCAATGGACTACTTGAATGATTAATGGATGTCCTCTGCCTCAGACCTTCCAGCATCTGATCGATACCTATACCTCAATTATATAGAGAAACAAGAGTCTTTTTTAATTTAGTGGTCTGCAAGCATTTGCACATAAAAGTAGGTTTTTGAGGTATTCTCCCTGTCCCCATGTACCTTTTCTTGATTCATGAATAAACATTAGGAACACACCTGGGAAAAGAAGAGACTTTTTTAGTTTGGTGACAAAGTAAGGACTCAGGAAAGAAATTTTGTTCAGGTAAAACAAAGGTTGATTTTTTGACTTTACTGAAAAACCAAAAAGAAAACTTAATTTAAAATTAAATCTTTTGAATGCATATGAACCTTTTACCCTTCTTCTTTTAATTTGGGTAAGCTTCTAAGGAAATAATGCCATTTTCCAAATAAAAACTTTCATTCTGATCATGTCAAAACAGAACATTTTGGCATTTCTGAAACAAAAATATTTAAAAATTACCAACAACATTTTCCATTCTTTCCCCCATTTTCTCAGATGAAACAATACTGATTTTCATCTGAATTTGCAAATAGTTTGTTTGCATCCCTCCAAAAACCTTTTCCAACAAGTCTAATATTAGTGAAACAAATTTTACCTGGCTCTACTTGGTATTGAGTGTCCTGTAAATATGCAAACTGTAGTCACCAGTAAGCCTGCCTGTTATAGGAAAAAGGCTTTACTGCTAACATGAGTACTCCACTGGCTTCAGGGGAACACCAGTAAAGTCATGGATACGTGTAACAAGTTAACCTGTGCCATATTGAATTGACCTGATTTAAAAAAAAAAGGCTTAAGAGTGGTTCCATTTTGCCTTGGTAGCTGCAAATGTACTCTGAAATGAATTAAATACTACTTTTTATACTTTCAAAAGCTTCCATTTTAGTGCAGCCCACTATAAGCCCTGCTTCTTCGTGCACATCTGGCATGAGGTTTATGCTGCAAAGTTTGTTTTTCTATTCATATGTCTATAGATTAGGGATTGAAGAACAAGGCTCTTATTTAATAGTTGATATAACCTTTTATCCTTGCAATGTAATGAAGTGGATACAGTACATCAATATCTGAGAAAGAGAATCAGCTATAAATATTGATAGATTGTTATGGAAATCAACTACATATAAATTACCATTAAATAGCTATTACTGATTAAATTAATATTAATTAAATATCTGTTGGTTTGTAACCTAATTGAGTCCCCCAGCATGTTATCTGAGTGCCTCTTGCTTTTCACAATTTAACTGCAAAGACAGTGAGAGACAGAGTCTCACCTGGCCCTGAATTTTTCTCCATATCAGTATGGGAGGAACAGGGAACGTCTGGGAGCTGGTAACAGTTCCCTTCTTCTAAAGTTAAGCTTCAACATTATCAAAAGCTGTCTTAATAGGTCCTGTGACAGTTGGGTACAAAATTGAGTTCTACCATAGCCCCTTTCCGTCCTTTATATTGGTAGGGAGTAGTGGCACAATATCCGGCAGTGACACTGATGTCTACACCAGATATTCTCTGCTGAGGATCTGAGGGTGGATTGTGGCCCTTCAAACTATTCAGGTGGCATGAAAGGGCTAATACAGGGCTTGTGAATCCTGCCTTAGAGTGTTCCAGCCTTAATTGCTTCTCCTGGTGGAGATGTTTGGGCCATAAAAGTGTTGGTAAATTATTTTGTAATTTAATTTTATGAGGGTATTAATCTTTTTCTTTATAGGAAATGTGGGTGTTTGTAACACTGCTTATTCCTGTAGGCTAACACTGATTGCTTCCTGCAGCACCCTACTTCCTGAGAAGCAAATGTGATGATCTCTCCTATGTTGTCAGTGGTCCTTGATCATTGCATTATCGTTGTTAACTTATTGTGCTTCATAACCCAGCCTCATTAATGAACAATGCCAGGAAGGGACTATTCTTTCTACCTGCTGTTCCCCTCTGTCTGTGTGCAAGGATTACAGTTGGCCTTTTTTGACATGAATATCACACTGTAATTTCAGTTAATTTACAGAAGGCATTTTTGTATAGAAGGTTTGCAAACATAAGTGCAGTTGACTACAACTGGACTTACCAGTCAACTCACTTTTCTTTTTTCTCTACCTTTTGTTTTTGTTTTAGGTACAAAAGTTATAGGAGGAGCCCGGAAAATACTGGGATTTTCTCCTATTATCATAGGAAGACATGTTAAAAATATTTGTATGTTGTACCTGGAAGACACATCAAGGAACAAATGAAGAAAAGTTGTTTCCTTCAGTTGTCTGTAAAGTATACCTGCCAAAAGAAAACCCGCAGTGCACGCGCGCGCGCACACACACACACACACACACACGTGCACACTATATTCTTATACCAAAGAGTTAATTAACTCACTTTAGCTGTAAATATGCTGCCTCAAGGTTCATTCTAAAGCTTAGCTATATATATATATTATATACACACACAAACACACATATATAGGTGTATATATCTCCTTTCTTAACGGAATGGACCATTTATTTTTGTAAATGCTTATTTTAAAATATTTATCATTTGGATAATGTTTTTAATACAAACCTTGACATGTTATCTTAAGTGATGACTGATGACAGAACTTAAGCCATCTTTGTGTACCTTGTGTTTTATACTGGAGTAGAGGAACAGGATAGTTTAAAGGATATATAATTCTGTCTTTTTTAATAGTTAATGTAATGGTGACACTTAAGCAAGTCAACCCAAAGCCTTAGTAAGAAATGGACTGGATCCTTTATTTCAGGGTTGTCTCTTCTGCCTGTATTCTTTGTACTGCATGTGTTCAAATGGGCATTAATCCATACAGGGCTCACCAGTTGCTGGTTCCTTGCAGTATTTTCTGACTGCCTTCTTTTATACCTCAGCTTAGCCTGCCCATGTTCAGGTTCTGGACACTGTTCATCTTTGTTAGCATGTATTGAGCTAATGTAGATTTCAACCTATGGCTGTTTGATTTTCTTTGCGATCAGGATGACAGAACTAGCCAGAACATGAAGTAGATTTTTAAAATTTGCATTGTTTTTTCATTTTCATTGAAGTTATCAGTTTTGTGTTGCCAGGAAACTATAGTAGCCCAACATATTTGGCAGGAACTTTAGAAACAGTCATCAAAGCTGCACAATGTGCTTTTGTTTATGGCCAAAAAGATGCATTTTAACTTGCATCTCAACTTTCTTTATAATGTAATTTGATCATACATTATGCTTTTCTTCTGTGAGTTTTCTTCTGAGAACCTGCAAAAAGACTTTCCTGTGTTCATAAACACATATAGCATTAAGACATGTGGGAAGTACAGGGACTCAGAACTGGAAATGAGGTGCTTTGGGATTTTTAATTTTGTGGCCCAGCCTTCTACCATTGAGCTCTCAGGAAAGTCCTTCTCTTTCTCTTCTAAGTGGGTTTCTTCATTCTAGTTAGAGGTGTTACTGTTCCTGAACCTGGCTACAAATACTGGCATCTATAATGAAGGTGTTCTCTCATGATCTGCTTACAGGTAAAAAAACTGAGATGCTTGGTAAGGCGTTCTCTTCCTGTCTTTCATGAGCTACTCTGTGACTAGAGGCTGACTCCTGGGGCAAAATGAAGCCTCACTGACAAATACTGCAGGGCTCATCTACGTAAGAATATTAACTGATACTGCAGATGTTATGCTGGTGTAACCCATCATATGGACCTGTCATATGGTCACTTCACAAACATATTGCAAACTGCACTATGTTATACTGGTATATCCAGTCATATGGACACTTACTCTGAAGTGGCTTCTTTGTTCAGTTCATGTTGCATTGGAATGGGTTTAAGCTGAGCAGACAAGCAAATAAAAGGCCCACCTCTCTCATTCTGGACTAGGTGTAACTACTGGGGAGTTGCAACAATTTAACTACACAGGTATAATAACCTTTAGCTGCATAATCAAGCCCTTGCGTGTGAAATCACCAGCTCACAGTAGTTAACAATTACTAAGAGAACTGCAACTTAGTGCAGGACCTTAGTTCATCTTCTGGTTCTCCACATTTATAGCACAGTTTTTTCCCAATCCCATTATTTTGACGCTGAAAAAAAATCCCTTTGAACAACTAGAATGCATCACAGGGGCTGCAGCATTAGGGTTTTGACTAGCCAGGTCCCAGATAGTACCTGTTGGCTACTGCCATCCTCTTCGGTAATTCTCTGGTCTGCTCTTTGTTCTGTTTATACAGTTGCTTGTTGCCCTAACAGGCTCACCTACAGCAGTCGTTAGTGTCCTTGAGAATGATATCTGTTTTCCACCTTTGAGTTCATTGGATTCTAAGCTATAATCACCTAAATCTATAAACTAGACCCAGAACAAAGGAGGAGCAGAAAAGCACCCAATCAAACCCAGCAACTTAGGATATTCATTTTGTCACATACAATAATCAACATTCGTGGGACTTGTGCCCCATGGTGGAAAGATGGCCCCATTAAAGGGGGAGCCTATACCTAACTTTAAGCTTGTGAATATTCCCTTTGCCATTGTTGAGGATACTGACATGTTTAAGTATGTCACGAAGCTTTATCTCAGAAAATCTGTCACTTTTTGCTGGTCTTGGAGCTTTGCAGGATGGAGATAATGGACACATATGAAATGTTGACCTCAGTCTATGCCTCATTTGATCATAGAAGCAAACAATCACACTGAAAAAGTATTTACCAGCTTTAAATTACCATGTACTTTTACACACTAAAAATGATGTAACACTCCAAAGAAAATAACCCACTGTACTCCAAGATTACTCTGATCTGTCTAGTTTGTCTGTGTCTCTGAATGTCTTGTTTCCTTCCAAGACAGATTTCACCAGCAGCCATACCTGGAAGGAAAAAGGAGATTGTAATTTAGGGCCAAGTATCTAAATAACAGGCTGCTTCTTTTTATACTAACAACATACCTGCTGGAGTATGTGACTGGGTAAGGAAGGGCTGAAATAGGGCCAAAAGGGGCCCCCATTCCTTCTCTCCTTACTGAAGTCAGTGGGAGTTTTGCAGTTGCAATGAATGGGAGTAGAAGCCAGCCCTGTGAATGCTATTGAGAATAAACCTCTCAAACTTACAGTACATCTTGTTGCAGCACTATAGGCCTTAGTGCTTTGGTTTACCCAAAGTCTCAGGCAGACTTTGCAGCCCACAAAGAGCTCTGTGCTACTGCAGCTACCCTGATAGCAGTACCCTGCTAACTGGGGCTAATTCATATGTTTACAGAAGCAATGGCCGCATCACTGTAACTGCAATGTAAACATACCCTTACTGGCTTCTGTAGTGTAGCATTATTACAAAATAGAGGAGCTTCTCATGGACAGCAAGGTCAAGATTGGGCCAGGAGACATAGTAAACCTATTTAATAGAGATCAGCATCTCATAAGATGGGAACTCATGCAGATTCTGTGCAAATGAAATAAGAGCATTGTTCGTCCAGCCCCACACAGCACTGTAGATTGGAATTTTTCCCCTTCTTCTGCCCCGTCATCTTTCATTCATCTTTCACCCTAATACCCCAGGTAATCTTATACAGGCAACTGTAACAGTGTTTAGAGTGCTTCCTGTAGTATTCAAAACAGGGTAGTCTCAGTCAGCCACCTCTCATTTTAGTGCAGACACAGAGGTCCTGTTACTTTTAAGCAGCTTCCCTGTGTTTAGATTCTCCATCTCTTTGTTCCTGTTATAACAGACTGTTACTTTTTGTGGGCTCTTGTTGAAATCCTGCAGGAATCACCAGTGCGATATATACTTTTAAGATCAAATTCTACTTCACTTATCCACTGAAGAGTAACTCACCTGCTGGCACTCCCATTGAGATCAATGGCTCTCCAGGGAGCAAAGCTAACATAATGGAAGATGGCAAAATGTGGTCCTGCAGGCGCCTTAAGGCAAATTATTGTGATGATCCTTTGGAACCATATATGACAAGACCACTCAGTACTGGCTGGGGTTCTGAGCTCTTCCAGCATGAGGATGCCTTTGAAGAATAAAATGTCATGTGGAAAATTATCACTAGATTAGTAGGGAGAAAGGCTGGAATGAGAACTAGATCAGCTGAGAGCAGGATTTGGCTGCAAATTTCCAGATGGACGGTAAAACCTTTCTCATGATTCTCTTTACAGGGCATGCTTGTTTTTGACCCAGCTTGGTTACTTAAAGGACCATGACAGCACATAGGAGAAAACTATCAGTTCACTGTTGGTAGCTTGCACTGATAAGAAAAGCAGTGAGACAGACTCTAAAATTGCCTGTGTATTTGTACACACTCAGTGTATCATTTTTGTACAATGTGTTGCACAATTAGAAGGTGTTTTGGCCCCCTCTTCCCTCCTCCCTCTCCTTCCCCCCTGGCTCTTCTCAAGTCTCTTAATGAGAGTTTGAGAAAAGGTGTGTGGCAATAATAGACTCTTGTAGTTCTCTCATCTTAGAACAGAAGGATCCAAGTCTGTATGTGATCATCCCAGGATGGATTCCTGAAGGTCTTCATTCAGGAAGGGATTCCAGGCTTTTTCACACCTCTTCGCACAGCGGGTATATATGGCATGTATAGTTCCCCCCCCCCCCATGTCCAGTGTCTGTAGGAGGCAGATAGGTTGGTTCTTTGGATATCCTGAATTGTATGGTGTTTTTTTCCAGCTGAATGTTACCATTTGTCATGAAATAAAGCTATGGCTTGGGCTAAGGTGGCATGATGACAGAGAGATTGAGGTATTTTGCTCTGGCTCCAGGGGTTTGAGCCATGTACTGCATAGCGGCTGAAGGCTGCCCCTGGTTAACCCAGGTGTGAATGGATGCCTGGCTAGGGAGTCCAAGGCAGCTAGATGTAATGCTAAACATATCACTCCCTTTTGTGCACTTGGCCACAGAAACTGGGTATACCTTAACTATGCTTGGGCAGACTTTCTGATTTTTGATGTCTTGGATTACTCTTGTCATCTGTCCAGAGCCCCACTCCCCACTGCAAGTCCAGAATAGACCACTTGAAATGTATTGTCCAAACTATCGTGACGTGTAGGCCTGATCCCCAAGGGTCGTGTGAGTGGTAGCAGCTATTTGCAGTTAAGCATTTGCAAGGTGGAGATCATACTTAATAAGCCAGGTAGAGTTAATACATGTGTGGAAATTGCTCCTGTGTGTCTGCTGATGATTGAACATAGGTTGGCCATATCTTCATCATCTCCTCACCCATTCTAAGAGCTGCTTTAGAGAGGGTCTTCTGCTCCTCCCCCCTTCCCTGTCACCCTAACATCAGGTTGCTATCATCAGGTTGCCATAGCATTGTGGGATACGAGGTCATTGGCCAGCATTAC